AGGTTGCTGTTCATGCTGACCTGGGAGAAGAGTAGTCCGGGCTGTCTGCCTGTTGCCACAGGCCCCTTGGGGCCCCAGCTGTCCCAGTGGTACATCCTGGCTGCTTCCCACCTCTGGGTCTTTGGGATGGTCTCTGCCGTTTCCCCGGGTGGGGTGGGGTGGGGTTGCCTAGGGTTGGGGGTTCACTCACCATGGCTGCAGGCGGGTGATGGGCCACAGGGCAAGTGGGACCTGAGCTGGGCTGCTGCCTTCAGGAAGTGACTGTGGCTTCTGCTCCACGGGCCCCACGGGGGTGGGGGATGCTGGCCGGGTTGGGAGGGCAGAGGAGGAAGGAAAGGAGGCGGAGACAGCCTCTGCCTGTCCCCAGATCCTGCCTGGCGCTTGAGTTCCTGTCCTGCCTGCTGCTGTCTCCGTGGCCTCCGTGCTTCTTGTATTGGCTGTCAGCACATGCCCAACACGGTCACCAGTTGCTTGACTCTGTGGTTCTGGGGGCTGGCAGACTTGTGGTCTCCAGGGAGGACTCTGCGTGGCCGTGAGGGCCTCCTTGGGAGGGGGAGCTCTGGGCGCGGAGACTCGGGAGTTGAGAGAGCGTGATGGGTGGGCCCTTCTGCCGGCTCTTGTTGCCTCATCCACCTGCCTCATTTCCACACTTCCCCACTGCTGGATTCTCAGCTCTGAGCAGGACTTCCCTATTAGAGGTGCACATGTCACATGGGTCGTGGACGGTTGTCGGGGGCCGAGGGCCCAGCTGGGGTGGCAGATTTGGGGGGTGGGTGGCTTGCGTGGGTTTTAGCTAAGGCCTCGTCCCCTTGGGGAGGGAGGGAGACTGAGGGCGGGGAGAAGAACAGAGGCAGCAGGGAGAGCAGTGAAGGGGGGCCGAGGGAGTGGGCAAAACTAGTCCTGTGGGGGTGTGCGGCCCAGCCAGCCGGAGGCGAGCCCTCTCCACAGGGCTTGATCTGCTGGAGGTCAGGGACTTTGGACACACCGACAAAGGGAGAGTGCAGAGCCCTGATTCTCAAGTTTAGCTCTACATGGACATAGCTTTAGGAGTTTACAGAGAGACAGAAGGAAGCTCCTGGACATTCTGACTTAATTGGCCTGAGCCTGGGGATTTCTTTCTTTAAAAGCTTATTTAAGTGACCCTCTAGACCCAAGTTGGGCCTTGAACTCACAACCTCGAGGTCAAGACTCACATTCCTCTGACTGAGCCAGCCAGGAGCCCTGAGCCTGGGGATTTCTTAAACACTGAGGGCTGATTCTCATGTGTCCACAAGTCACCCTAAGACCCCATTAAAGTGCAGGTTTTGCCTCAGGCCCATGGTGGAGCCTCAGATTTCTAGACATCCCAGGTGATGCCCTGGAGTAGTGAGGGTGTAGAAGGATCCAGTCTGTCTTAAGGACAGTGCATTCCCAGCCGGACCCGTCCACTACCTCCATGCCAAGGAAGCCACAGGCCGTGCCATCGGAAAGGACTCTGCCCGTGTCCACTTTTAAGATGCAGAGCTTGGGGGTTCTGGAGCCTCAGTGCCTGCCCATCCCCATCCCCGTACTGGTAGGCATGCACCCTGGGTCACATTCCCAGAGGTGGGTCCTCCTTGGAACAGGAGTCCCGGGAGACCAGGGATGATGAGAGTGGGTACTGGGGTCTCCGGGATCAGCCAGCACAGGCCGGTCGCAGGCTGCGTGACCCTCCCAGTGTTCAGTGAGTGAGGGAAATGCATGAAACAGGCAGTTACTGGCCAGGAGCACACAATAGGTGCCCAATCAAGATAAGCTGAAGGACTGAATGCTGGTGACAAGCTGGTGACTTCCCAGGCTCCAAAGCCAGGCCCCCACCATGTGCATACCCACGGCCTGGAACTCGCAGTTTGGAGGGTCCCGCCCTAGCAAACCCCATTCCCCCATGGCCCCCAGGAGGTGTTTCCCCCTCACCGCCCTTTGTGTTTGGAGCTTTCCAGGTGGTCTGGCCTGGTCTACAAAGCACCGCCATGAATTTGGACAGGAGGCTCCACAGATAGAGTTGAGGAAGCTGAAGCCCGAAGTGACCATGGCCCAGGATCTGCTCCCGGGTTTCAGTGGTTGGCGGGGGGGGGGGGCGGGTGGGCATGGGAAGGTGTTGGCTCGGTAAGCCTGTGAAACTTTGGGCTAAGGTGGGGTCCCTGGGTTCGGAAACGGGGTGGGGGTGGGGAGCCAGAGCAGGTGTGTCCGATCCTTGCGCAAGAGCAGGGTCATGCATCTGGCTGCCCTGGTTGTGGTCCTGGGACAGGCAGGATGGTGGTCTCCACGTTCAGCGACATGCGGTCCAAGTGCACGCAGTCAAGGAGGACTGAGCACGTGGGCAGCCAATCCTGGGGGTTGAGGGGCACAGGGAGGAGCTGGGGGCCTGGGATGGGGGTGCTCGAATCCAGGTCCAAGGCAGGGCTCTAGGACGCACACCCATGAACCTTACTCCCCTCCCCCAGTCTGGTGGTGATGGGGCTGGTGCTGGACGCCTGCCAGCCGGTGCACAGGCACCTGGCCAGACCCAGCTGACGTAAGCTGCCTGGAGAGGCTCGCTCTTCAGTGTAAACCCGCAGTCTCTTATCAACCTACCCCCACCCCCTCCCTGGGCCAGCCTGGCAAAGTGGGTGACTGCCCTCTCCTTCCATCTCCCTTCAAGACCGACACTCCAGGGCGCCCTCTGCTGGGCAGAGCTGGGGCCGTAAGAAGACAACCCTGGCGGGTGGGGAGGGCCCTCCCACGGATCAGTTGGCCAGAGGGAGGGCAGGGGCTCTGGAAGCCCATGAGAGACACTGGGAGATGTCCCAGTTGAGCTGAAAAAGTTGAATAGGAGTTGGGAGGGGGCAAGGGTAGGAAGTTGCTTTTGAAGTGAGCAGGGTGCACAGGCCACATCATGATCCAGCTCCCTAGGCCTCTGGGCACTCAGCGTAGGGTGCTGTGGGGTCGGGGAACACTGTCCCCAGGAGGGGCTGTTGCCTTTACATGGGTGACGGCGGCGGGGGGGGGCGTACCTGGACCAAGATATTGGCCTTGGGACTGTCTGGAAATGTCCTGAGAGACTGAGAAGTAGCACTGCCTGGATTTGGGGGTGGCTGTATGGCAGGGCCTGATGGGGAAGGGACGCTGGTACCTTGAGACAGATTGGGGTCCTGGGGGAGAGGGAACCCTGAACCTGTCCCTGGAGATGTGGGGAAAGGGGAAGGTGCCCTTTGGACCTCACTCCCTGGGTTTTCTTATAGACACCACCTTATGGGAACCGTCCTCAACTTCTGGGGTGGTACGGAATCAGTAAGGGATCTGAACTGGGCCTGGCTCAGTCATCTTACCCTCCAAGCCTCACCTTCTCTAGCTGTAAAATGGGCCCCTTGACCCCACCTCCCTCCCTCCCGGGGTTCTCCGTTGGGGGTGTCCTAGGCAGCCATGGGTTTGGTAGCCATAGGGACGTGAATCACAAACATTTCCCAAGCCCCCTCCTCCCTCCCCAGTCCCTGTTCGAATCTTCACAAGGACTCCAGAGGGTAAGAAGCATCCTGACACCCATCTTAAGGACTAGCAAAGTGAGATGCAGGGAGGTTGTGTCTTCTCCAGGGTCACAAAGTCCTGGTTCCAAAGCGTCCAACTGGAAGAGGAGAGCTCACGGGGCTGGAGCCCCAAGGTCCCCTGATGGCCCAGCTGGTCCCACAGCAGGTGCCGAGTGATACTTGCCTCAGCGTGGGCCCGGAGTGCTGGCAGAACAGACACCTGGCCCGAGCCAGCTGAGTCTCCGCTACAACCCCATCAAGGACACCGCAGCCCTGAAGCCCAAGCACAGGCGGGTGGGCAGGCAGGCCCCTGAGTGTAGGTGGGCTGATCCTAAGGGCACTCAGATCAGCGCCCCCCTTCAGGAGAAGCAGAAGGGCCTCCAGAGCTTGGAGCTGTTAAACTGCAAGGTTAGCGAGTTCTTGCTCATAGAAGGTCTACGTTCCCCAGGAAGAGGATGATGAGGAAGAGGAGAGGGATGAGGGAGTGGGTGGGGAGATTCGGGATGGAACCTTGTGGGTTATTAGAACAAGGCCTTCATCCAGAGAGCCACGGGGAGCCACTGAAGGCTACCAGGCAGGCACGAGAAGAAACCCGTTTTCAGTGGTGTTCAGACTTCGGGGGGGGGGGGGGGGGGGGGGAGGACAGGAGAGGTTGCTTCAGGTACCGGGGTTGGGAGTGGGGGAAGAGGGTCAGGGGCCTAAGCTAAAGGACCCCGGGCTGGACAGGAGCAAGATGCAGGAAGTAAAACTAGCTTCTGAGGGGCAGCTGCCAACAACATGCGTAAGACTTCCACATTCCGCAGGCTTGGCTCACTGGGTTTTGGTGACAACAGGGCTGGGACAGCAGTGTGGCCCCAGATTTTGAAGCTTGACCCGGGACTGATTTCCCATGAAGGGAAGAGGAGATCCTAGTGGCTGGAAGGCAGAGAGGGGAGGGGTGAGGAGGGAGGAAGTCCAGGATCCCTAGGGCTGGCTTTGACCCACCCTCTTCCTCAGAGCTGACACAGGGGCAGACGTGAAAGCAGGCAGCCAAGAGGAGAGTTTGGAGGACAGGGACGAAGACCAAACCAGAGCCCCAAGGCTGACAGTGCCCACGCCTGGGGACCCTGGCACCATCACCTCAACCTTGTCCCCTGTGAGTCTGAACTGGCTTCAGGAATGTGGGTGGGGGGCGGCTCCAGCAGGGCCAGCCCCAGTACTTTCTCAGGACCAACCTCCCAGCCTGTCCTGGGACTTATTAAAAGCGAGGTTTCCATCCCATCTGGTTTCCGGAAATGGTGGGACAAGACAAGGGGCACTGGCAGTCCCAGCTACAGCTGAAGAGGGTGGCACTGAACTGGAGACCTGGGTCCCAGTGCCAAGGTGAGGGGTAATAGTGAGGTTGAGGGGAGGCTTGTCACCTCTCAGGGTGTGCTCACCCCATGACTGCTTGACTGACCGGCTATGCATCGGAGGGGCAAGGGACCCAGACACAGCACAGGATGGCTCATCGCGCGTCCTTTATTGTTCCCCCTCCCCTGCCCCATTAATTACAAAACTACCCCCATCCTACAGTCCAACTCCCCCCTCCCCACCGCGGCGGGATTCAGAACGGCGAGAAAACCGGACACTCCCCCTCTGACAGCAGCGGAGACACCTTGGGTGCAAGCGGGACCGGGTCTGGGTGGGGCAGAGGAGGGGTCGCCTGAGCCTCGGCTCCGCCCCTCGCCTCGGGGGCCCCGCCCTCCCCACTCGAGCGCTCCTCCGCCTTACCCGCCCGCGCGTCGGGGCGCGGCTGCCCGGGCCCCGGGGCCGCGGGGGCGATGGGGCGGTGGTCCTCCAGATGCAGTGTCATGGCGGGCCGCGAGGCCGTGGAGAAGGCGCACTGCATGCACGAGTAGCGGCCGCGTGTGTGCTCCCACACGATGCGGCTCGGGGCCGCGTGCCCTGCGGGCAGGCGGGACCCCGTCAGTCCCGGCCACCCCCAAGGATGGTAGACGTGGACGAGTGCGGGTCAGACCTTTCCCCGCCTCCCCATCAGCTCCCGGGCACCTGGCTGGTCTGTGATCCATTGCTCCCGAGCGTGTTCCCTCCTGTAATTGGGGGGGGGGGGGCGCACTAAACTTGACTTATCCGAATCCCCCACTCCCGTCCCTGGAACCACCGCAGGGCAAAGGACTTGTGAAGCGGGCGCGGGTTTTACACGGAAACGCCGGCGCAGATGAAGGCTCAGGGGCTAATAATTTTTAAGGCAAAAATTTTGTATTTTGGGGGTGGCAGCTCTGGCCACCTGGGAAGGGGCGGGCAACGCTGCTTCCCAGCATCCCCTGGGCCCGCAGGGCGCAGAACCGAAAAATCCCCTCCACCCCTCCCTGGTGGTCACCTGCACGCACCTGAGGGCGCGTCGGAGCCGCCCTGGGGTCTTCGCGGGCTGCCGCCGGCACCTGAGATAAACGGGCGGATCAAGGTCAGAAGTCTGGGTGAGCCCAGCTCACCCTTCAGGCGGCGCTGTTCCCACACTCACCTTGGCTCTTTTTCCAGACTGCGGCGCTGGAGGCGGGCGGCCCGGGCGCCGCGGCCAGGAAAGGGCGCAGGCGTGGGGGACTTAGGCCAAAGGGCGCGGGGTTCAAGTAGGGCAGGAAGGGCCCGGTGGGGGCAGGGGCGGGGGTCGTGAAGGGCTCGAGCAGCGGGAACGGCAGGCCGGGTGCCGAAGCAGTGTCGGACTCCGGGGGACGCTCAGGCGCCGGTGGCTCCTTGTCCAGGGCGGGGGGTGGCGGCGGGGCTGGGCTCTGCGCATGCTCGGCGCAAACATGCAGGTGCTTGAAGAGCGAGCGGTGCGTGCGGAAGCGCAGGAGGCAGTTCTCACACCTGGGGGCAGGCATAGGACTGGGCTGGGTCTCCTGGGGGGCGAGGGTGGGGCCTATCCCATGCTACCTGGGGAGCCGCCGCACGAGGGTGGTAAGGGAGCCTAAGGCCCAAATCACAGAACCCCCACTTGCGTGGGGGAGAAGCTTGCTCTAAGCGCCCCCCAATGTGGCCGCGACCCTTCCGGACCCCTCCGGGTCCTTGCCCTAGGAAAACGAGGAAGGAAATCTGAATTTTGACTTAGGTGGCCAGTTTTCTTCTAAGAAGGTCAGGAGAGACGGGATGGAGACACACACGACATGCCCCGCCCTTCCTGAGCGTCTGGGACTCGCTCCAGTAACCAGTCTCTTTTGGGGCAGGTAAGAGCCCGAGGCCACACCCACTGCCAGACTCACCCTCCCCCCCCACACTAGGAAGGGAGAAAGGCCTGGACCCCAGGTAGTGGCAATCAAATCAGGGGTGGGAGGAGCTGCCAGGGGCCTGATCACCGAGCACCAGGGAAGTCGGGATGGTCAGTGTCTCACTTGAAGTAGCGGTTGGGTTTGTAGTGCAGTTTGCCATGTGCCACCAGTTCCTGCATGCTGGGGAAGGTCTCGGTGCAGCTTAGGGCGGAACAGCGGAAGAGCTTGCCTGGCAGGGGTGAAGGACAGAGGAGTGGAGAGGGATGGCCAAGGCCGGCCTGAAGGCTCTGCCTGCCTCCCACCCCCTACTCTGGCCCTACCTTCCAGGGACTGTGTGGGTGGGCAGTGGGTACGCAGATGCTGTGCCAGGTCTCGAACACTGGGGAAACTGAGACAGCAGCCAGGGCTGGAGCAGGGTATCTGCTTCCCTGCAGGATGCACGGAAACGGGGGTGTCACCCACTCTTCCCCTGGCCACATGTCGAGTTCTGCCCCAGAGAGGCATATATGAGGCCGGAATTACCCTACTGGTTTCTTACCAGGGCCTTTACCATCTGTTTCCCCCACCAGGCGGAGCTGCCAGAGGGCAGGGGCTGGGTTGGCTGGCTCATCATTGTAGCCACAGCCTGGCTTACGCTTGGTGCTCAGTAAATGTGACTCCCTCTAGATGGGGCCCAAGTCTGGAGATAATCTGTATTCATCTTAATTGTTCCAAGGCCTGTGAGCCCCCAGAAGGCTCCATCACAGATCACCTGGTTGTTGGCGTCGTCTGGGAGGCCTCAGGTCCTCGCTGGTCCCAGGGACGGTGCTGGTCGGGCCAAGGCTGGATCCAGGACCGGGCTGAACACTGTCTGGGGCTGAGGGGGCACCCTGCTGGGTCCCCCCAGGCCCTCCTCGGTCCCACGCTGGGGGTGTGGATGCCCTCTCAGGGCCTGGCTCCTCCCCCATGGAAGAGGAAGTGGCTGCTGCAGCCGCAACTGGGGACAACACCTCCTTGTCAGTCTCACTGAAGCTGGGCTCTGCATGGGCCGGCATGTCCGGGCTGGGCCCCGAGGGTTCCTCCTCCTAGTGGAAGGAAAAGGCAGGGAGAACCCCTCTGGGCCCAGGTAGGCCTGGGCCAGCCATGGGAACCCCTCCCACCCCGCCAAGACCTGTGGACATTCCTGAAGCAGCAAACGCCCTTGAGAAGTCACCCCGTCAGCCCCAATCCTAAGGAGTCACCATCAGGGGCGGGTAGGGGATAAGGGTGGACTGAACCTCCTGTGTTCCATCCTCTGGGAGGGAGCTGGGAGGTGCCCCAGCTGCAGAAGGGCGTATCTGTCAGGAATTACTCCTGTGAAGGCAGCAGTCCCTCGGCCCTAACTTGGGGGCAGGGCCGTGGCCTACGGGGTGCGGGCGGGGCGCAGGTTACAAAGACCAGGCTCCGAACAGGGAGGACGCCGCTAGGAACACCGTGGAGAGGCCAGAAGGGGTCAAGCGGACTGTCTCCCAACCGAAACACACACACCCACCCGGCTGCAGCTGGGCAGCCAAGCCCGGAGGTGCTAGGGGCCCGGACGCATAAGGAACAGGGGCGGAGCCTGAGTCCTGTAGGCGTGGCCCAGTCGAAGCGGGGCCAGGAAGCCGGGGGTGGGGTGTTCCCCAAGTGACGGGCGAGGGCCCGGATGTGGGGGCGGGGTCGGCCGGACGGTGCGCGTGCGACAGGGCCGCGCCCCGCCAGCACCCGCTGGTTCGCCACGCCCGCACCCGCGACGCCGCGCTCACCATCCTCGACCCGGCTCAGCCTCTTGTTCCTGCGGCTCCTGTGGCTCCGGCTGAGGCTGCGGCGACTCCCTGGGCGGCCGCGGGCTCGTGCTCACGTCGACGCCATTTTCCGCCTCCCAGCTCTCGCGAGACCGGGGGCGGGGCCTGCGCACAGCGCCCTTGGGGGGGTGGGGCCTTAGGGCTGGGTCCTCCTGGAGGAGGCGGTGCTGAGGGTTTGCAAGCACAGCCTTTAAAGACCTTGTGCTCAGAGATCTTGTGGAAAAATCCTTCCGGGCCCCTGTTGTCATCTGCAAAATGAGTACCTTTATCCCGTCCCGTCACCAGCTCTTTTTTTTGAAGAGGGAGTGTTGATTGGGCCACCTCGAGAGAAAGTGGCAGTGATCGTGAAAATTTGCAGTGCACTGAGTTCTGAAGTTGGAATGGGCTCCCTGTGATAGCCAGGGGCAGGAAGCAAACTGCTTGTCCTCCGGACAGGTGTAGGCTAAGGAGGGAGACCCCTGGGTGGACAGGCGTGGGATAAGTCACCTATCCATCCTACATTCCTTGAGCGCCTACTGTGTGCTAGGCGTTGGGGACTCAGAGGACAGGACAAACATCCTTGCCCTCAGGGGCTTGCTCACATTTTAAAATGGGGAAACAGACAATGAGTCAACAAATCCAGAAAACCACCTTAGTGTTTTAACTGCTACAAAGGAACACACACACACACACACACACACATGCAGACACAGGGAGGAGGGAAGTCTCTCTGTGAGTTGACTTTTGAGCTGGTCAGGAAGATGTGAGCAAATGGAAGGTCAGGCAACTCTGGGAAGTGGATAGCTGTACAAATGTCCGGAGGTGGGGAGGGACAAGCTTGTCTTTCTCAAGGACCAGTAAGGAGATCAGCTCACTGCTGGAACAGAGTGGAGGCAGAGTGTGGAGGTCAGAAAGTGAACTTGGTGCAGGGAGGGTCACACAGGACCTCATGAACCATAGAGAGGAGTGTGGTTTCTGTTCTTACCATTGATGTATTTTTAGCAGGGGGAGGTCCACCATCTGATTCCTGGTTATTGTTGGGAGGATGGGCAGTTGAGGGGGATGGGAAAGCGAATCTTTGATCTCAGGTCTCTATAAGACATTATTTAACGTTCAAGAGGTATCTTGCGTTCTGGCAAGTGTAGACTTTATGTGCAGTGTATTTCCATCTGTGTACAGAAGAGGTACCCATGTGCCTTTATATGTGGAGAATACCATTAGAAGGAGACATTAAAAAAGTGGGGAGGGGAACAGATTTTTTAAGTGAGGGAGAGACAGTCTTTTCATACTTTGTGCTGTTTGAATTTTTAAAAAAAATGTGGTTTTGATGATAATGAATACAGTGAAAAACTCAGTAATCTAAAAAAAAAAAACCAAACCCAAAACAGATCATTTGACACAGGGTGGAGGTGTGTTTGTGTGTGGAGAGGAGGCTGGTGCAACCTGGGGAAGGGTGGGGTGAGGCCTCAGAAGGACAGGGACCCAAGGAAGGGAGAGGAGAGGCCAGGCTTAAGAAATTCTCTAAGTCAACAGGATGTGGAGCTGTGGAGTGGGCAGGGCCAAGGTGATTGAGGTTTGCAGTCTGAAGATGCTGTAACCTAGATGTGAAGCCCAGAAGGCCCTACTTCCTGTAAATGGGGTGACCGCCATGGCGGTGGGGCCCGAGGGCTGTACCCCAAAATGTCAGGGCAGGCAGACTGCATGGTGAGTGCAAGGAGAGAGTAGGGAGGTGGAAGAGGACGCCCCAGTTCCTCTTCAGCCCCAGAGAATGTCCAGCTGATGAGGTTGGTGGCTCCCGCCCTTTCTCCCCAGCCTGTTCTAACATCTAAGTGTTGCAGAGAGAGGCATACACGGGGGTGGTTGGGCAGTGGAGGGATGGAAATCAGAGATGGAGGAAACCAGGGACATTCAGGGGAATGGGTAAGTGCTTCTGTATAATGATTGGTGAATAAAAGAGCTGTTGAGACCCAGTGGCAACCTTGGGATTTTTTTTTTTTTTTTCTTTTTTCAGCCACACTCAGTTTCCCAAGGTAGGGACAGAAGAGAGAGGGTTCAGATCCTGCAGAAGGGGCTACTGGCCAGTCTTTCTCTGAGAGCCCATCTCCCATCCTCCCCGGCTGGGTAGGTGTCCCCTGCCTGAGTTCTCCTGTCACAGCCTGGATCGTCGTATGTGGCGTTTGCCATCAAGATCTGCTGACCCCAAACCCTTTTCTTCCTTCTTGCCTCCTCCAGCAATGCCCACTCTGTCTCTGCATCCCCTTCCCCTGCCCCAGCCCCTGTCCCTTCTCTGACCCAGTCCTGATCCCACCGGCTTGGCTCCGTCTCTCCCAGACTGACTGCTCCTTGAGGGTCTGAGCCCAGAGTGGGTGTCCGTTTGGAAAGTCGGGATACTTAGGCTCAGCCCCTGGCAGGATCCCCAAAGGCTCAGACTCCATCACTGGCTTGGAAACATCTGGGTAGACCAGTAGTGAGGATGACCCCCTAAATCCATGGCAATAGGTGCGGAAAGCCAGGGCCCTTGCATATCAGAACCGGTCCTGACCCCAGGTGAGGGAGGGCTAAGAAGGCACAGACACGGGGGCGGGGGGGGGGGGGGGGGGGGGGGGGGGCAGGTGCAGGGGCCAGGGTTGGCCCAGACTGGATGGTGATGGGCCACGTGGGACCTGCCTCCTTCCTCAGGGTCCAATCAGGTCCCGGATGGGGCCTGCAGATTCAAAGCTGACAGGACCCCCCAGGCTATTTTCTACAGGTAGGCTGGGATGCAAAAGGCCAAGAGCAGGCAGGTGGGACAAACTCCACCTTTGGGAGAGATGGGGTGGGGGGTATATATGAGTTCAAGCCTTGGCTCTGAGGGATCTCGGGCAAGTGACAACACTTCTCCCGGCTCCCAGTTTTGGAGTATTTGCAGCTTCTCCCTCAGCCTTGTGAGAAGGGAAATTAATTCACACTTTCACCTGGCAAATGTTTATTGCCTTAGTGATGACAGAAGAAGGGGAGTCTTGCTTGTCAAGGTGTCCCCAACTGTGCTTGGCACTTTGCCGACAGGACATTACTCATTTATACTCACAAGGCAGCTGGGAGGTAGATTCATGCTGTTAGCCCTGTTTGACACAGGAGGCAACGTGTGTGACATGGGGGAGGCCAGGGCCCTGGGGGGGCTGCGGTGGTGACCCCCAGACCCAGGGCCTGAGTTGGGCTGGGCTGGGCTGGAGGCCACTGGGCTGGACCTCCGGGCTAATGCAGCCAAGGAAAATGAGGCCCTCGCCGCGGGGCCTCGTTCCCTGGCAGGCAGGCGGGCAGGCAGGAGGCAGAATCTGGGCCCCCTCTCAGATCTTCTCCACGTAGTTTCCCGGGAAGAGGCCCTCCTGGCCATGCAGCCGGCCTTTCCACCAGCCTGAGGCATCTGTGGGTGAGAAGGGAGCGTGAGGCGGTGTCCAGCCCACCTAGGAGAAAACCTTCATTCTGGTTCCCTGCCTGTTTTAGTCATCGCCACTGGTGTGGCAGAAGGCAGACGTTGAAAAGAGAACTGTCAACAGATGGAAAGGAGGGAGGGATGGACGGACAAGTAGTTTTTCTTGCTACTGCCTCACACTCTGTCATGTTCTATTCCATTCTCTTGTGCTCGTCCCTCATCTCTTTCTACAGGTGCCTCCCCTCATGCCCCATGATGGACCAGTGAGTGACCCCTTTGGGGCTCCCCATTTACCCACAGAGGATGCTGCTGAGTCTCAAGCCCCTCTGGGTGGGGGGGCAGCCCAGTGGAGTAAGGTAGGAAGGTGGCCTGGCCCATCCAGACAAGGGGTGAGGTAGGTTCTGCTATTAGCAGTGTGCTCGACAGGAGAGAAAAATGAGGCCCCAGGGATTGGTCATGCTGCTGGGAGGCCAGGACCCCAGTGTCCTAGGAGGGAACTTTCAGACCCAAGGCCTTCTAGCCTACGCAGTCACCGGCTCGGAAGAGCACATCTTTAGTGGGCGCTAGTTGTTTCTGTTCTCCTTGGGAAGGGTGTGCAGGAATGGGGTGTTGCCTGGCTGCGTCAGGGTTCTGACTCCTCCCCTCTATGGCCTGGGACACACACCTTCCATGAGGATCTCGATAACCTCGTTCACGTTGAAGCTCAGCTCGTCCACATCTTGGCCCACGTACTGGTACAGTGCCCGGCACCGCGGGCCATGCATCCGAGGTTGGGGCTTGGGTCGGCCAACGCCCGGCTCAGGTCGCTGCCCCACACTGCGCTTTCTCTGCATGCTGTGGGCACAGGGAGGTGTCATCACAGCCCAGACACTCCCCTGCCCCCTGTCCACCTCCTGGGGCTCTCCTCTTAACTCACTTACCCTGCCACACCCTGGTCAGGCACGTTAAGGAATTCTGTGTTGTGTTCCGAGGGAGGCCTTGCCCGGGGGCGTCTACTGGCCCTCAGGGCTGAGGATGGAGGGCCCCGGAAGGGCTGCTGGGAGCCCCTTCCAGATGTGATCTCCAGGGGCAGGGGCCCACTTCTGGCAGAAGGAGGCACCCCATTGTGGCCCAGGCCTGTTGCAGGAGGAAGAGTGGGAGCATTTATCAGGGTGAAGGTAGCATTTGGGGAGGACTTAGCTTCCAAGATCCCGGGCTGAGGGAGGAGACAACAGTCACATGCTCAACGCAGCATGGTAAGGACTGGTCCAGAGGGAGGCTCTGCAGGGGTAAGATTTCCCCCATCCTCTTCTGTAGGTGGGTCTTGGAGGATGAGTAGGAGCTCAAGCTAAGTGAAAATGTACCACACAAGAGGAGTAAACAGCCCAAGCAAAGGCTTGGAGATAAGAATAAATTTGTTAAACCGACAGAGTAAGATGTAGCTCGAGTGACAGAAATATACGATGGGAGGAGAGAAAGGTTGGTGGTTAGCTGGGTTTGGCTTCTGAAGGGCTCTAGATCCGACTAAGCTTAGTCTGCAATCTGTGGAAGAGGGGGAGCTGTGGAGAGTTCTAGGCAGAGAACAGAGTGGTCTGCTCTATCTGTTGACAGCTGGCGTGGCTTGGGTCTTGGAGCACACAAGAGGCAAGGGAAGACACGTCGCCTCACCTCTGGGAGGCCCCGGGGCTGCCCGGGTAGGGGCCTGGGCTGACCTTC